GAAATAGAGTTAGAACTTGTAAAACTAAGCAAATATGTTTGTCTTTAAGAAGGAACTGGATGAACCAACTAGGCTACCAAAATAAGCTAAAGAAAAAGAATATTAGGCTGCCTTAATATACTAATAAACTGATTATAGTTCTATATCAACTACTATAAATCAAATAGTATAATATCTCAATACATTCTAATAATAGGATTTAGAATAAAAACCACTTGCTAATTTATACTTTTACTTTTATATTCATTTTGATTATTCATATTTCAGTCAAGTACATTTAACTTTTTAGTTCATTACTAATTATATTATTTTCTATAAACCTTATTACAATATTCATTTAACTAATTTATATATTTCTAATTTATTACTACTTTATTTTTATATGCACTGACTTTTGATTTAACCTTATATTGGAGCCTTCAAACAAGCTATATGCAGTTACTTCATATAGAAAGAATTCAATAGCTTCCAAATTATACATATTTTGTATATAATCTCTGTAGCTCACTCACAAAATTTTTTCTAACACATGATTATAGCCAATTAGATTAAAGGATCAAATGTAATGTAAAAATTATGTCTTTTTAAAAAATCATTATTAACTCAAAGTTTTATCTATGAAACTGTTTTCTGTATTCTAATAAAAAAAATTCCTCATGAAATTTTAGTATAAGCAATATTCTTTTCATCTCTTATTCTAACCTTAAGATGATGCTTCTTGCTTTAAAATCTTTTGCTTAATTCAATTGTTTTGATTTTACATTACACCTAATTCTTCAATATAATTGGCTAAAAATCATGTTGCAAAAAAAATTTTGTAGGTGAGCAATAGTGTTCTGCAGATCTGAACTGAGACCCGAACCTGACCTGAAATCTAACTTGAAACCTGCCCAATAGATCAGTTTGGTTCATGGTATTTTAAGCCAGATCTCAATAGTGATCCAATCTGACAATACTCAAACTGAACTATAAGGTAGATAAACATTGCTGATTGGCTGCTTTGTCTATATAAAAAAGAATTTTTTTTTCTTTTTTTTTTTTTTTATTGCACAATGAAACTGCTTTTATAAAACTAAAGTAATTTTTTTTTTCTTGGTTGTTATTTTGTTAGATTGAAACTTTTTGGTCTTCTTATTAGTTTCATCTTTTATAAGTTCAGTTACTATGCTACCATAATATATAATAATACAGTTGCTTCTCTTTAAACTAAATTTGATAAACTGAAAAAATTTTTTTTTTTAATATTATTAAAACATTAAATTTGGTATACAATTAACTAAAAAAAAAAAAAATATTGATTTCAGATATGTTTTTGTATGATGACATTTGTGATAAAACTTGCAATAAACCTTATAATAAACATTGAGATGAACCTTGTGATGAACCTTATTATGAACAATATAATGAGATCCAAAAACCAACAAATATAACTTGCCTAGATGAATTCGAGAATGAAGAATCATTATCATCAACTAAAACTGTCATAACTAATAGGTATTTTATTCAAAAATATATTACTTTTATATTATTATAGTATACTAATGTATTTCATTTATAGATTATTTGTATGGAACCATTTTAAAAAAAAAAAAATTAAAAATAAAGATGAATTGTTCGTATTAGTTGCAATATGTGATTATTGTGGTAATAAATTCAAAATCCAAGAGGGTGGATCAACTTTAAGCTTCTGAAAACATATTATTTGTTAGCACAAAAACTAAGTATCAGAATTGAAAGAATCAGGATCAAATATAAAGCCAAAGCCAAACATATCTGTTTTAAACATGCTCAAGAACAAAGTTGTAAGTTAAAAAAAAAAAAAAACAAAAAAAGTATATATATACATATATATATATATATAACATATCTTATAATATATAATTACTAGGCTGAAAATTACAATTGAGAACCTTTTGAATTCAAGAAATTTATCGATCTTGTTAAACAATGGGTTATTAAGCATAACTGGCCATTTTATATAATTGAGAACAATGGCTTTAAGGAAATATTTACATATTTGAAGTTTCAAATGATAGGTAAATTTTATTGCTATATAATATCTACTTACCTACTTGTATGTTATTTGAGGTTATTTGAGTATATGCATATATAGTGTTGTGATTTTTACCTTTTTGAGCTTATTTTGTCTATAACCTACATTTATCTATTATAATATATATAGTGACTGATGTATAAAATTAAACTTTAAAATTTTTTTAAATAGTGTCAAATTAAAATCTAAAACTGAATATATATTCAGTTTCGGTTTTAATTTGACAGATTCATTTAATATTCCCAAGCAGTTATTTTATTAAAACTAAAATAAATATTGGTATTTTTTTTTTTATCTAAAAACTATTTTATTCTTATTACAGTCTTGTACACAATACATCATATGTATTACTAAATATTAAAGCTTATAATTTATTTGAAACTTTTTTTTTTAGTACCATCATCTAACTTAATAAAATGGCACATTACTAAGAATTTTAAAAAAGAATATGAATGACTTCGAATAAAACTATAAGAAGTTTCTGGATGCATAGCAATCACAACTGACATCTGGACAACTGATAATAATAACAAATCATTTATAGTAGTTACTTTATATTACCTAAATGCATCATAGTCAATAAAACATCTTTTACTTGATTTTATTAATATAGATGGATAGCATATGAGTGATGAAATTGTCAATGCTATGAAAAACTGTCTTAGGTTAATGGGAATTATTTCTAAAATAATAGCAATTACACATAACAATGTGTTTTCCAATGATAAATTTTTACAAACCTTTTCTAATTCTATTTCATCAATTGGTATTCATTTTGATAATAAACAACAATCAATACAATGCTTTGCTCATATTCTAAATCTGTCAGTACAAAGCATTTTTAAAAACATAGGAAGTGAATTAGAAATAGTTATTACTTTATTTATTTATTTATTCATTATTTATTTAGTTTATTTATTTATTTTTCTTTAATAAATATAATTTGGTAGAATTTTTTTTTATTGATATTATTTTTTCATTTTAGTTGTATGCAATAATTAAGGGCATCTGAGGATCAAAAATATGTTGTAAAAAGTTGAAAATGTTGTGTCAAGCACATAATATAGAGATATTAAAGCCAATTCTCAATGTTCCTACCTGATGGAATTCTATCTTTAAAATGTGTGAACATGCAGTAACATTACAAATTGTTTTGGATTCTATGTCTCATACTGAATCAAATTTATATCAATATGTACTTGCTAAGAGAGACTGAGAAAAAATAAAGCTTCTGGTTGCAATTTTAGAGCTATTTAAAGATGGTTAGTATTTTCTATTAATTTTTTAAATAATGCAATTTATTTTTAAACTTAGCATAAAATGAATTTGTTTTATGCTAAGCTTAAAATTCAAAATTTAAAATGTTTTCAGGTTGTTCTCTCAATGCAATTTGAAAGTAATTGAGATGTTTTTCAAACATTGCAATTAATTAAAGTAATAATTAAAAATGTGTCTTGTAACAATATACTTAAAATTTGTTGTGCAAAGTGCAGATTTTATAATTTAGTCAATAAGAATAATTTTTAAAAAAAAATAGTCAGCACATTTATATTTTATTCGTAGCTTACTTGATTAATTTAATTAAATTTTAGCTAATTGAAATTTTGTCTTAGATCTATTGAGTAAAATGCTTAAGAATGCTCTTGAAATCATCTTAACTTATTTGTTAACCTGATTTTTTTTTTTTATAAAAAAAACTTGCTTCACTACTTATTTAATTATTATATTAATTTAACAATACTTGAGATGTCAAAATAAGAATATTCAATGTTGTCAATAGTTATACCTCTATATCATATGTTAGTTGAAATATTTAAGAAAGCTAGACAGAAGAATAATATGTCACTATAACTTGATCATGAATATGAGGCTGTAATCATGAAACTTTTAGAATATTGCAAAAAATTGAATATATTAAATATTGCAGTAGTAATACTAAACTTATAGTTTAAACTTAAATATTTTGAAACTTTGAGCTGGTCATTACAACTTACTCAAATCAAGAATATGTAAGTTAGCAATACAAATCATGTAATAGGTTAGAAAATTAATAAATAAATATGCATTATTTTTTTAGTATTGTAGACAAATATAAAAGTGAATATGCATCTGTTTCTGATCAAAATATGACTTGTATGACTGAAGAATCACCTAATTATAGTAACATAAATTTATAAATGATTATGTGTAGAACAACAAAATGAATTAGATATATATTTATTAGTATCATCTGTAAATAAAAATATTGATATTTTAGAGTAGTGATGAACTAATAAATCATGTTATCCAAATCTTGCAAAATTTGCTCATGACTGTCTTTCAATACCAGTGACAAGCATTCCAAGTAAACAGATATTTAGTATTGGTAATGATATGATAACCAATAAGTGAAATTGATTGAATGATAAGATGGTACAGAAAGCTATGTGTTTGAGATCATAGTGAAGAGAGCTAGATAGCTAGATATATAATCTTGTAATTCAACTGATTTTATAATAAATATGAAGCACATTTTCAAAAAAGTTATAAATCAATTTTTTAATAGATTACTATGTATATATGAGTGACGGAAAGGGAAAACCTGTAAATCATGTTCTTTGAATATTTACTTTTAATCAAAATATCTTAAAGCTGAGTAATTTGAACACCTAAGATATTAATACTTATTTGAATCGTCTTAGTAAAACGATTCAAATAATGTTAAAATCTTAGGTGTTCAAATCACTCAGCTTTAAGATATTTTGATTAAAAATAAATATTAAAAGAACATGATTTACAGGTTTTCCTCTTCCGTCACTTATCTTAAAACTACTGTTATTTATTTTTAGATAGAAATGTAAATTAATTTTCACTTAGTTTGACCGGTTTCGGTTCGGGTCGGGTTTCATCTATTCCGGTACGGGTCTATTCTTGAACCCGAACCGGATTTCCGGTTCGGGTCGGATCTTTGCCAAAACCCGGGCCGAACCGTGCCGTGAGGAACACTAGTGAGCAAACATGGTCATTTTTTAAATTTGGCCTGGATTTAGGGTCTACAGTCATCATAATGCCGGCTGATATTAATTCGGCCAGAATTTGCGAATCATAATGCTGGCCGACTTTACCTAATTCTGGCCAATCGCAGATTTTTGTAGAATCATCTTTTATCACGGTATTTTGTCAGCATCGCAATAGCGAACCATGATGTAACGTTACACGATAAGGAAGATCAAAACAAACTTTCAAAAACACTTATTTCTCAAAAAGTGTCATCCTTTTTATTTATATAACTTATTGCTGTTACAATTTCGCACAATTCAAAATGCCTCGAAATTTTGAATTTATCAAATCACTTAATGATGAGTTTTTTCTTACCGTGCGAAGAGCCCATTTAATAAACTTATATGAGTTACTTGTAACTTCTCTTAGTGCTAAAAATTATTATCGAGCTAACCGTATCGTTGAAATTTTATTACAATGTCCTGAAGTTGACGTTACTCATGTTTGGAAGGTATTTAATTAGAATATTTTGTTACTTAATTTGGTTAACAACAAATTCAACGTTTTATATAATTTTTTTAGTATTGACTTATTTTTTTAAAAAAATTGGCTGGTTTGAAAGGCGGCTATAGATGTGTTAATACACCTTGGGAATGCTGAAAAATCATGTATAGATTTTTTCAACCAAATGTTATTGCATACAAAGTGTAAGGTAAGTTTTTCGGAATTTTTATATCAAATTAAATGTATCAAATATAAATCCATTATGTGATTTGTTGTATTTTTAGGAAGAGGTATTGCTAGAATTGATTTCTTTTCAATTGTATTCTGGCAAGCCACGAGAGGCACTTGAAATTCTTGAGACGTAATCTTTCTATTAAATTTATTTGGTCTAATATCTTACTGTAAAATTGAAAATAATTTTAATATATGTTGCAGATATCTGACACAGCAACCATACAAAGATAACCCACTTATTTTTGGTTATACTGGCATGCTTGCTTTCGCATTATGGGAACAGACAAATGCCATCATTAATGATTTCGGTGCTACCAGGCCGACAATCAATCAAATAAATGAAGGTGTAAATGAAAGACCCATCGTAAATGGTACTACTACTATTCCCTTAAACCTTTCTTGATCAAAATAAATTGTGTTAGACCTATTAATCTTTATTTCATTAACATGTAAGATCTTGAATTGTATGTCGAGCAACAAGAAAAGTATTACGAATTAAGTATTAGTTCTCTAAGTATGGCGTTAGAGATGGATAAGTCAAATGATATGTTCCTCGTATTATATACGAAGGTAATTTTGGATTGTTTATATTAAATTAGTAGCATGCGATTCTTATAATTTCTTTTAATTTTAAATAAGATATTATTAGCTAATGATATGGTTGATGAAGCCTTAGATATTGTACGAAGTTTTTGTGATCAAAATCCTCATACTGTTGTTGGTTACAGGTATTTAAGTTATATTAGTTCCATATTCTTTAATATATTCTTGAATAATATTTCTTATATTGACGTTCTTAAAGGCTTTTGTTCAATATTCTATACGAGCATCGAAATGAAGACACTAAGTGGGTCCAAGCTGGAAAATTATATCACCAGATGGATCCAGTTAGCCCGCCTGAAGCTGTGCTAAATCCTCTAATAAAATATTATGAAAGCGTAATGGGTAACGTTTATTTATTTATTTATCTAGTTATTTTATAGACTCCATTTATATCGGATTTTATCCTAATTAGCCACTCAAACCTCTGCTACGGATCAAAGGTCATCAGCTGAAGTGCATTACAACATATTGGAACTATTGTTTCAACGAATTGAAAATGGAGATGATGAATTTGAGTATGTGAAAGACGCAATCGTCCATTTTACATGGTTAGAGTAAGAAATGTTTATATTGTATAAGAGATCTTTTACTTTGAATTATAAAGTAGATATTGGTATTATGGCAGCTGTGGGTATTCTGACGGACGAATATATATCATATTCAATATGATATAATCCACTGCAACACTCATATCTACTTTATACATATTTTGGGATAATACTCATGTAACACTTTTCCAAAGATTGTTTGATCCTGAGCGTGAATTAATCGATATACTGCTTAAAAACCGTGCTTGGATTCGTACATTTTTCTGGTTTCCGAACAACAAAACCATAAAAAGCTGGCAGCACATGCAGTACTATCGTACATTGGCCGTGTTCTGCGGATGCAATCCACAACCAACAGTTACATCTTTCGCTAGTAAATTAAAAAATTATATACTAGTAATATAAATTTTTATAATTTTGAGTAATTCATTGGTTACAGTTGTGAATTCATTTACAAATTTATTATTTTGTTATTTTGTTTTGATAGACCGGAAAAAACAGAAAGAGTATAAAGGGATATTTGTTAGATTTCAAGGTAATGAAATTTAGAGAATTGAGGAAGAATATAAGATATGAAATTCCTGATAGCTCAGTTTGACGATTTACATATATGGGTAATGTAAATGACACTTTTATGGGGAAACGTTAAAGCCAGGTGCGTTGGAATTACTTTTTTGATGCAGTGTTACTTTTTTAATTAGGGTTAATGGTGTTTGCACAATATAGCATGTTAATTAGCCAATTAGAATATGGTTTTATCAAATAAAAAATTTAATTATTTTGTAATAATATATAAAAAAAGGCATTGTTATATAGTGCATTATGTATTTAAGGCATTTTTTGTATTTTAAAATTAGAAATAATATATTAAAAATTAACAGATTATAAGATTTTTGGTTTGTATTTTTTGGTTTATTAATTAATAACTAATTTTTTTAATAATTTTTTGATTAATAATTTTAAAACATTAAGTTATAGAAAAATAATATAAAACTTAAGAAAATAATATTTTTAATTTTATATAAGTAAGTTATTTGTTAATAAAAAGTTATTTGTTAATAAAATTAAGAATATAAAATATTAAAGTGTAAATAAATTTTTGGCAGATTTGTATTTAAGGTTAAATTTTAGTTTAGTAAACTTTTTGTATATTTGATATTTAAATTAAAAAAATATTTTTAAAAAAATAAAATAAAAATTTTAATTAAAATTATTAGTAATATAAAAATATTTTTTATATAATTGTAAATTTACAAAAAAAAATTATATATATATATATTTTTTCTTATATGCAATTATACTAGTATTTTATTGAAATTTTGAAATTATATTTTAACTACATAAATATTTCTAATATCTAAATTTAGCATCATCTAGCTATTTTAATGATATCTAGATGCAATCTGTTGCATTATTTTAAGCAGAAGTAAGCTGCTCATCTGATTACTTAAAGTTCATAATAGAAGGGTCTTTTTCTAACATTATTCTTTCTTAACTTGCTTTTTTTTCTATTTTTTCTTAATTTGCTTTTTCTTTTTTACTTAGTTGCTTTAACTTTTTTCTTTTTTTATCCTATTTGTTATTCTAACTTTTTTCTTTCATTTATTAATTTTTTTATATATTCTTTAAACATGTTTATAAAATATATTTCAGTTTATTGTTACTACTATATTTACAAACTGCTGTCTTGATTTTATGTTTAAAAGTTGTGTTAATCTGTCTTGTGTTTCTTTTAGAATTAGGTCTTTAATTAATTCTTTTCTTATTTTTACTTTTTCTATCTCTGTTTTCTTAAAAAATGCTATATATAACATATGTAGAAGGATCTGGATTTTTTTTCTTTTTTTAGTCTCTTCTATGCTATAGTGATAGTTACTTTTTAGATTCTTTTTTAAAGATTGTTTTATCTTTTGTATGTTATCAAGTGTGTTTGTGTTTCTTTTATCTTATTTTAGTACACTTATTATTCTATTGTTGTATATATATCTGGTTTTTTTCTGTTAAGTTTTTTCAAAATCAGAAGTTTATTTATTATGCATTTAATAAATATGCTTTTTCTGGAACTGCTTCTTCTTGTTGTGTAATATATTTCTTTAAACATCTTTAGCCTTTTCTAAAAATATATCTAATTATAAATTGTGATTTTTGTTTTTAATTCTAAATTATTAACTGCTCTTGTTTTTTTTCATTTTGCTTTTAGTCTTACATTCATTACTAACTTGCAAAGCTGTCTTGTTTGTATGTCAGTTCTCTGTTTTTCCATTCTAGCCAATATTCTATTTTCTTACAACTAACTTTTTTAGTCTATACTATCTTTCTGCTTGTTGTTTCTTTTTTTGCTAAGCTATCAGCTTTATCATTTTATTTATTTTTGTTATAACTTTTAACTTTAACTAATTCTAATTAAATGTTTTTCATCTTAATAAGATCTTTAATTTTTATTATTCATATTGTATTCTTCTTTTTAATGAACTTGTTTCTGTTTACTTATTTTAAACTTCTACTAATATTTCTTATTATAGCATTACTATTTATATATATATCTATTTGCTTTTCTTTTTGTATTGTTAAGATTGCTACCCAAATTGTTACTAACTCTGCTATTATCAATGTTTGCCATCTTTTTAGTCCAAGTGTTACTTCTTCTTCTGATTATTTTTGCATTTTATTTATTTAAACTCATTTTATACTTATATTATTTTTAGATGCTAATTCTTTATTAGCTTTCATATTAGTTGTCTTGTCTGTATATATTATATATTTATTCTTGTTTCTTATAATATTTCTTTTAGAATTTTTATTATTTTTTAACTAATATTTTCTTTAGTTTCTGTCATTAATAATTTCTATCTTTAGTTTTTCTATTATAAGATCTTCAAGTTTTTGTTTATTAGTTTCTGATCTGTCTATCTTTGTCTTATTTGTTATTTAGTTCATTGCTATTTTAATTTGATTGCTATCTTTCCTTATTAATATATTTAAAATCATATTAATGTTTTTGTTTACTCTTATCCATTATTAACAACTATTCTCTATCTGTTCTTCTTTTCTTATATACTTTTTGTATCTATTAATTTCAGTTACTAATTTATTTTTTTTGCTCTGTATTTGCTAGTATTTAATTAATACTTTTTTTTTTTTTTAATCACCTTTTCTAGCTATCTGTAATTATATACACTATATACTATCTATTTTTTTTTCTTTTATCTTCTGATATATGTTCTTATTTAAGTTGTTTTTTTGGGAGGGTATTAAGATAACCTCTTTGGTTTTTTAACTTGTTATTAATACTTATATCAGGTACATGTTTATACAGATGAATCTATATTAAACTTTCAGTTAAGTATACAACTGGCTATACATGTAACTTTTCAATATTACCTATTTAAGGAGTTCACCTGAAGGTTCTCTACCAATTGCTATACCTAACACCCCTAATTAAATGTTCTATTTAAACCCTCTGATCTAATCCTAATATTAATTTCATCAAATTACTTGATTTGAATCTTTTTATCTCAATCTTAGAATAATTTTATTCTTAAATTAAACCTATCAAAGCAAGTTATATATTCTCTATTTACTGCTAACCTGGATTTTCCACTATGGTCAAGACCAACACTTGTGGTTAGAGTTATCTATTAAACTGCTATTATCCTTATAAAATTTATCCAAACCCTGGTACCTATTTTTTTAACACTTTTTCATCTTCTTCTACTAGCCACAACTCAGAACTAATAGACTTTCTAGACTTTTAATTCAGATGGCTTAGTATAGTATACTTATATATCCTTTTTTTTGGTGATTATGGCATCCTGGTTGGTCATATGCTTCTCTACATATCTTGTTATTTGGTTTATTTGACAATTTCTATAAAAGTGTTTCATAGGCTTCCATTGGTCCAATAGCATTATTGAAAGTTTGTGTTATCTTTTTACTTGTGATTTTTAAGTAGGCTTCTGTCTCTTCAGTTTTTTAGTTTTTTATGCCTAGTAGTCTTAATACAGATTTGTACTAAAGTCTTTTGTGACATTAGTTTTTATATTTCTTTATATACATGTAATATTACAGTTTATATAGATGCTCTGAGCTTCCAAAATCAAGTGGGTCCTGATCTAATATATCTAAGATTACAAATGCATAAACCTAACTAATCAACAAGAGACAGTTATTGTAATACAAATATAATTTCAAAATTCATCATCTGTAAGAATTGAACCTTAGACCTGCTACTTGGGATTGACAACCTATCCACTTTACTAGATTACTACATCCCCTTATTTAACTTGTATTGCCTAAGCATTTTGTTTATTTGTTATAAAATGTCTTTGTATTTTTATAGTTTGTGGACTACTGAGCATCTTTAATTCTACTTTTTTGCACTATTTTGCTTTTTTCTTTTTATTTAATTAGCCTTAATAGTTTTTTGATTGCTACTATATGACTAGTTTTTCTTTCTTTGTACCAAGTAGCTAGTTTGTATATATTAAACCAACTTTATTTACTTTAACTGTTTCTTTTTTTTATAAATATGCATCTATAAGCTTTTATATTTTAGTACTATACTCAATTATTGTTTATAGTTCACTTTTTGTTCTTATGTTTATTTTTAATTTTTTATTTTAAGTATTGTATGACATGCTAAATTATTTTTCAAACATGTTTTGATTTTTGATATTTCTTTTATCTTCTATATATCTTTTGTTAAATCTGCTTTTTTAACAGTCTTGTATTATTCTCAATTTTGTTAGCTGTCTGAGACTGTTTTGTCTGTTTAATTTTGTTAAAAGGCTACCCACTTGCTTTATTATTAATTTTTGTTATAATGATCTACAATTACCAAGTCTATGTGTTCTATTAAGCAGTTTTTTACTATTCTTTACAAATTCTTTTTTTGTTTTGTCAAGCTTATTATTGGTTAATGTATTTTATTTAAACTTCTGTCTAACATCTTTATTAATTGTAGCATATAGCTTAACTTGGATATTATTATCATATTGTTTATATAT